CTTACCTGTGCACCTTCTCCATGGTACAAGCAGTTCACCACATTGTCCAAGAGATTGATATCCAGTTTCTGGTTAAAATCCAGCAGCTGACGAGCTGCATGGTCTGCTAACATTGTCATAATTGCTGGCATAGATTACTGCAAAATAAATTTTTAAAAATTGATCAATTAGTAAGAAATTATTACCAGATGCAGCTGCAAAGCAAGTGCTCATTTGTCTCACTGAAACAAGATGCTTATGTTAGCAGCAGTAGATAACACTGGATACAACACTGCTTTGATAGCAGCTGCAAAGCAAGTGCTTCAACTTAGCTCATTTGTCTCATTGAAACAAGATGCTTATGTTAGCAGTAGTAGATAACACTGGATACAACACTGCTTTGATTGTGGGGCACATACCACGACAAACTTTTCTTTTTTTCCCCCCTGAAAAATTCACCCATCACTACCCCAGCTCAACTCTCAGGGTCTTCAACAGGTGAAACACACAGTAAGAGTGTGAGCAGAGAACGGGCTGTGTTACCAGCACCCTGGGGCTTATTTCACAGCAGCTATCAACCCCTACTTGTCTGCTGGTCGAAAAGCCTCGTGTCACTACAACCAAAACCCAGACTGGCAATCTCAGCCAGTATCGAGTTCCCAAGGCCAACATGCACATTCAGAAGATTCAGTTCCAAAAGCTTTTTAAACACTTGGGTAAGGAGGTGAAACGTGATCTACACACACAGCAAGAAATTAGCCACAGGGCATTTTTCAAATAGTTGGGGAAAAAAAGAAAACCACCTTACAAGTTAACCACATCCAAGCAAAAAAATTACCACTGAAACTAAGTTGACTGAAGGCACTTTGAGACCGTGCAGTAAAGGGACTGTTAAATGAGCAGGTTACTCTGTGTGCCATGTGAGATCACTCCAAACTGAAATGGAATTCTACTGGAGGTTTCAGGTCCCCTAAACCCAGGGACACAGGCATTAACTCTTTGTCCTAGATAGAGCAGCCTTGATATTATGCAAAGGGAGTCAGGTGGGGTGTGTGAGATTCTTTACCAGCCAGAGACTGGTGCAAGATAAAGACATTTGTGAAAAGCAGGAAAACAAGCCAGAAGCCATGGAATTTTTGATGGTTAAGTTACACTCTACCTTTTTCACACCACCCTGCCTCCCCCAGGTTGAAACACCTAATCAAGTTTATTGCCCTGCTCTCACAGAAAATGGCAACTCTAACACATATTCCCACCCTGCCAACTACAGCACCTCTGTGCCACTCACCCTCCTTTCCAAACCCTGTAAACCCACAGGTCTCACACAAAACTGCTCACTTCACAGACGGCTACAAGTCTGGGAAGTGCAAGATCAATCAAAAAGTTACAGCAGAGCCATCTGCATGCTCAGAAAGATACAACCTGAAACTCTTCCAGGAACACACCCCATAAAGTCGGATGTGCTCTGACTAAATAACTCCATGTGTAAGGAAGAATTTGTTTTATGCTTTACGTATTCAAGTCATGCTCAAAAGTAAGGAGCAAGACAAACCTGTGCCTCAACCCTAGTAATTACTAATTAAGTGAAAGTTTTACTGCAGCATCCAGACAAGGAAAATCTTTTGTTTGGCAATGTGTATTTGCAAGTAGTGTCAAGGAATTTCTGTTACTTCTATATATAAAAATAGCTTCAAACCCAAATATTCTAACTGCATTTTCAACTAGAAAACTCAGTATTACTACACTAACACAACCATTTTAAGGGCTCCATCTCAATATCCAGTCAAATCTTTTTACAACATGTTCCTGCAAAACCAGGAGAAAATAAACATCAAGTAGGGAACAAAATAAATTAAAATTAACACTCCACGTCTGTCCTTCCCTCCTTCAACTCCTAATGTTTTCAAAATTGTGATGTTAACTCGGGAAGCCAGAAGCACAGCAGCAGAAAAGGCCGACTTCATTCTTCGTTTCATCCTTTTGGCTCGGGAGGACGCAGAAAATGTCACCTGGCAAACGAGGAGCAGCACCACTAGAAGGCAACTGCACCCACGAAGAGGCTCAGAGCAGTTAATGCTCCCAGGCACGCCCCTTTTTGTCCACATCTGGCCTCCATGGCTGAGCCGGGAAAGCGGTTCCAAACTACAATAAATGTCGTGCACCAGTCGCTCCTCGGGCAGGGCCATTCATTGCAGACCTGAGCCTCTTTCGGTGGTTTTCAGGCCACGCCGGGAGCGCCAAGGAGGAGCAGCGTGACCGAGAGAAGTTATTCAACACATGGAAGCAGAAAGGAAATGTTTTGAATAGGGCCCTTCGCCACTCCCAGCATTATCTTCGAAATGACCTAGCTACTTCGCCAGCCGAAACACAGAAATGGCGGCTTCGTGGCCACCACCACCTGCAAGCAACTCCATCTCCCACCCCTAACCCTGTACCCACACGAAGCTCATAATCTCTGATTTACTGCACTCCTACACTTTTCCCTCCCCCATCATGCCTCAACTCCGGAACGGATTTAAGCCTCGGCTCCAAGAACCACCATTGATCACTCCCTCAATAAATGGGCTAAGAGAAACAAAAGAGAAAAAGTTAAAAAAAAATAAATAAATAAAAACCAAACGAGAAAAAAAAAAAAAAATCTGAACTACAACACAGCAAGAATGTGACATCTACCGAAGGTCAAAAGAACTGCATTTACAGCACTGTTTACACAGTTATCCCAACTCTCGATGACCCTGGACCTTTAACACAACAGTTAGCTTGTTGTGGTAGACCCGATTCATTTTGGCTCGTAGCACACAGGAATAACAGCAGGCACTTAATAGTAAGAAACGGTGAGCATTTACCATGAATCCTACAGCACCTTCAACCCAGATATTTAAAGCTCATTGGGGGCAGCGACTAGAAAAAAAAAAGCAAACCCACCCTGGGAGAGTCACTGTGCCCCATTTCCAAGCAGGCAATGCAAATGAAGTGCCTCCCTCTTCCAAGGAATTAGCTGCATCACTTGTAAATCCCACCCAGGAGGGGTGAGTGCCTCCGAAACGCAGCGCACCACAAACGCGTTCCCATCACACTCAGCAATGGCAACGAAACCGCCCCTTCCCTTCGCTCCCTCACACACACACGTGAAGGAGAAGGACGAGACGGATTAAGCGGCATCTGCCCGACACCTCGGAGCGTTCCTTTTCGGCTGGAAATAACTCACACCCACCCAGCGCGGCGGCCCTTCCCCGGCTCCTGCCGCAGCGCCCCGGCGGGCGGGCAGCGCCCCGGCTCTCGGGCAGCTCCTCCGGCTCGGGCTCGGGCTCGGGCCGGCAGGGCCCTGGTTCCCGGCGGGGAGCGGGCCCGGGCGGTGGGTCGGGCGGGCCGGGGCCCTGCGGAGCGCGGTGGCCCCGCAGCCCGCCCCTCCCTCCTCCTCCTCCTCCTCCTCCTCCCCTGGGCTCCAGCCCTGCGCTCTATACAGGGCTCCCCACGTGATCCAGGCGGACGTTTCAATACTGCTGCACAGACACACACACACACAAAAAAATATTTCTGGAAACTTCCACTCCTAATAATTTACAGATTATGTCGCCGGGTTTGCCCGTGCCCGATCCCAGCCTGCCCGGCCCCCTCCTAACGAGGAGCATCCCCCGCAGCATCCGTGGCTGCGCTCGGCCAGGCCGGGGATGCTCGCACCCCGAACCCCATCCGAGCGCACCCCCGCCCCTCAGGGCTTCTCCACGGGCTCCATCACATCTCTCCTAGCACAGGCCAGGCTCTGGGGCCCCCTGCACGGGCAAATCTTCCCGTTCTGCCCCTCAAAATACCCCCCTCTGCCCCCTCCGCCTTGCCCATCGCGACCCCCCCACAACCCTGGCTTACCTAGGGGTTTCTCACAGCCTCTTCCTTCAGAAAGTAGGGGCGAGCGAGCCAAGTTTCTAACCACCACACGCCACAAGAAAAAAAAAAAAAAAAAAAGGAAAAAAAAAAAAAACCCCCAAAAAAAACCCCCCCCCAAAAAGGGAAAAAAAAAAAAAAAAAAGACCACGCAAGGAGGGGGGAAAAAAATCAGCACGGAAGGAGGGAAAAAAACCACCACGGCAGGAGGTGGGGGGAAAGGCGAGCGCTCCCTCCTCGGCGGTGGGTCGGGGTTAGTGGCGCCACTCCTCCCCTCGCAGCGTGCCCGGCCTGGCTGCACCAGGCGCCCGCAGCGGCCCCCGGGGCTCCGCGCTCGGCTCCGCGCCTTCCCCTCAGCCCCGGGAAAGCGGCCGGCGCGGCGCTCCGGCCTCGCTGGTGCGGGGGGATCTACCCGGCTGCGCCTCCCGCGCCGCCCAGGCCCGGCCCCGCCGGCTCTCGCTGCCCCTGCGGCTGCCGCCCTCCCCGCCCGGCGCTCAGTTCGCCCCCATTCCCGCCGCCCCCCCCGCGGCTCGCACTAAACTTCGCCCCCTCAGCTACGGGTCCCCTACGAGCAGGTCACACACGCGGCGGCGGCGACGGGGACTGAGCGCGGCGCGTCTCCCCCTCCTAATGCCACAGGCTCGGAACCGGCTCAAACCGGTTCAGACTGGGAGATTCCATCTCGGTTTAGTTTTCAGCCCATGGCGCCGCGGAGCGTTTGGAAACCTCGGGGGCCCCGCCCATCCGCCGCTCCCATTGGCCCCGGGATGTGCCGCCGCGAAGGCGGCCGCCGCGCTGATTGGTCGGATTGGCTGTCAATCCGCTTCGCGCCTCGGATGGGCGGGGGGAGCGAGCGGCGGAGGGGGGGGGGGAGTAGAGGGGACCCGCCCCCTCTCCAGCAGCGCTTTGCGCGCTAAGGGGGGGGCCACCGCTCCCCCATAGGCCGAGCCGCGCTGTCACTCAGAGAGGCCCCGCCTCCGTGTCTGCAAAGCGCGGGCGCAGGCCTGGCCGCGCTCTCATTGGCCGGCGCCGGCGGCGGCGTGACGCGCGCGCCTGAGCGCGGCTTTCGGGGCTGCGGCGGGAGGGGGCGGGAAAGGCGCGGCCGTTGGGCGCCCCCGGGCGCGTGCCTGAGGCGCCATGGCGGGAGCGGGGCGGGCGGCCCGTGAGGGGAAGGGGCGCGAGGGGCCGATCCCTGTGAGGTGAAGGGGCCTGGGGGCCCCTGCCCGCTGTGGTGAAGGGGCCTGGGGGCCCCTGCCCGCTGTGGTGAAGGGGCCTGGGGGCCTCTGCCCGCTGTGGTGAAGGGACTCGGGGGTGCCGGCCCGTGAGGGGAGGAGGTTGGTGGAGTTGGCCCATGAGGGGAAGGGGTTCCAGCACCGTCCTGTTCGTGCTGAGGCGCTGCTTCCGAGGGAGATGGGGGCACCTTCTGTGTGGGGGCTGTGTGGAAATGGCGGGCGTTACCCCACAGGTCCCTCTCTCTGGGAGGGAGTGGAGCAGACCTCAGCTGTAGAACGGGCCCTGTGAGCAGCAGCAGCACCAGCCCTCGGTGGGTGCTTGCCGTCCCTTACCGCAGCAGTCCTGTGCTCTCCAGCAGACTGTGAGTGAGGTGTGTGTCCCTTCCTTTACGATGCCTCTGTCCGTGGGGTGTCCATCTTCCTGCAGCTGCTCTCCAAAGCGAGCTTCGGGCAAGGCTGGCTTTAGGTTTATCCACGTCTCAGGCTGTGTGAGGCACGGAAGGTAACCAGATGTGAGCAGGGGTGAGCTTGGGGCTTTCCTGTGGTGGCACAAGCTCAGCACGCTGTGGTTGCTCGTCTCGTCGCTGCCTGAAGGAGCAGAGAACGTGCTTGCCAACTTCCACGTGGAAAAGCTCCCACCTCTGGATGTACCTACAGATGCATTTCTTCAGTCTTACCTCCTCATTTGAAAAAGGCATAGCTGTAGAAACTTATGACTCCTATGAGGAGGCTACTATTTGGAAGTATTTAAATACCCTTCTAGGAACAAACTTTCTTTTTCATCACTTCAATTCAAGCAGTTACTTTGTTTTTGGGATGGCATTACACTGGTCAGTGAAACTTGTTGTAGGAGTGATACTTTTGATTTGTGGAATGCCCTCCGGGTGATTTCCAGAGGAAACTTTCTCTGTAGCTTTGTTGAGGTGGTGTTTACCTGTGCTATGGCTGGGAGTATGGCAGGGATGCTTAAGCACTTTTGCACAACTTTAAAAGGAAAAATATAGTTTTGAGGTGTGTAGACTGCTCAGGAGCAGTGGCTAAATTACCACTGGTGTGAAGTTTGTATCTAGCAGGCAGGTGCTGTGCTGTTCTAATAAGTCATAAGAAGGGCACTTAATTATGTTTTTAAAGCCTTTGTTGGCTTCCTAACTTTACAGATAGTGTGCTCAGCCATATAGCTGCTGGATGGGGTTCAAAACCTGTATTTTTTTCCACAGGATCTTTTTAATCCATACCTTCTGTGGAATGCAACAGTTTAAAGTTAGGCATCTGTAGTCATCCCCAAAAGATTGCCAGTGCAATGAAAACCATAACATACTCGAATAAATAAATACAATTACACATACTTACACTGTTCTGATTGCCTGACCAACTCCAGAAGTGCTGTGGGGATTCCAGTTCCTCAATCTTCATTTTGTGGGGGTGTGTTATGTGATTTCTTTACTTTGTTTCTGGGACAGCTGGGGAAATCTTGTATTCATATAAGCAGTTGTGTTTTGGGCAGAATCCCAGTGGATGCAAGATGGTGTGGTGCCAAATCAGACCCTGTGTGATGTAATGCTGGCTTAATGTGATGTATTACTGCACTCCATTCCTCAGTTAAGCTTCTTGGGAAAACTTCTGCAGAATTTAAGGCTTGGAGAGCAGCAATGTGAATGGTCTCTTTTCTTTTTTATCATGCCTAAAAGGAACTGCATCCTGTTAACGTCTGTGTCAGGGTGGTAACAGTGCTTTGTTTAATTCAGCTTGTTTGTGTTGCTCTGGGGGATTGGCCTCTGCCGAGTGACTGTAATTGAAGATAGCACTGGAGCTGCTGGGATTGAATTTGGAAGTGATTCCAGTAGAATGGACGGGCACAGTGAGCTGCTGGTGGGTTAAAAGCAGGGCTGTAACTCTAGCACTCAGAATAAACAGTTCCTATGTGTGTTTTGATGTTCCAGCTAGCTCTGGTGTTCAAAACAAACTGATGTAAGAGACCAAAAAGTCAGATTATTTTAACTCCTTCTGCTTGTGCAGAAGGGTCACTTCTGTTTTTTTAGTGTGTACGTCTATGTAAGAGACAAATGTCTAAATCCTTAAATCAGATTCTTAAATGAATATTAACTACTTGGGGAGTAGATGCAGCTTCACAATTTCATCAGGTGCTTGTAGTGCCCAGATTGCAATGTGGTTTTAATAAATTCCAGGAGTAACAAACACAGCAGGGGTTGGCTCTGCTAAAGTTTGTTTGCTAAATCCTGTGCTTGAGTAGGGGAGGGTTCCTGCCTCATCACTGTCATGTCAAATAACACATTATTTTATTTTTTTTTAGAAATAGCCTTCCTATCTTCCTGCAAGCTGTGCCCTGGGAAAACTGAACTCTTCCCACCTCCCTTGTGCAAGGAGCCAGGTGAAGGCTGCTTCAGGAACTCGGGGCAGGCAGCAAAAAGCAGTTGTTTGATCAGGGTGGGTGTATCTGCTCACAGCTTTTCTCCCACACATGCTATCAGGAGCTGTTGTAAGCTTGTGCTTGCTGTTTTGTTGCCACTGTTCCCTGTTTGATGGCTCCTTTATTAGATGTTCAGTCTGGTATTTCAGCCTTGCTGGAATCAATAGAAAAATTTGCTTGGGTTTCAGGTCAGCAGTGTGGCCTGGTAGTGATAAAAGCTAACTGCACACTAGGCTGGATCAAAAGGAGCAGAACCAGGACATCAAGTGAAGTGATTCTTTCTCTCTGCTGGTCACTCAGCAGCTGCATCTGGCACACCATGCCTGGCTTTTGCTCCATCACTACAAGAAAATGTGGAAAACCCTGTGCAAGTCCAACAGAGCCCATCTTAAAGGTGGAGAAGGGGCTGAGGGAGCTAGGCTTTTTCAGCCTGAAAAAAAAAATGGGTGAGGGAAGACCCAGGAGCACAAAGCAAAGCAGGGAGTGGGTACCATGTGAGCAGAATTAAGTAACTGAGCTTTTGTGGTCTATTTCTTCTTCACAGGGGCCCCACAATTGGTGGCAGTTAATGTATTTTGAATTGTCTGCTCCCTGTTCAGGGGTGATGGGATGGGCCACCAGGATCTGAAAGTGTCACAGAATAAAGGCTATGTGGATAGGCAAACAGTGCTTATTAACTTTCACCCTGAAGTTAGAGAGCTCCTCCTTTTACCTTTTGTGCAGGTTTTTTTTACTCTCTAAAGCTTTTTTGTTTGTTTTTTGGACATTATTCCTGTAAATTTGCTTTAGATCATCTCCTTCAGCTGTGATCGATTTTGTTTGTCAGAACCAGAATGGTTTTCTTAAGTGGTGTGTCAGCATTAGGCATTGTGCATCTGGGAAAGCTGAGGGAGGAGGCATAAAAATGAGAGAAAAATATCATGCTGGTATCATAATTTCGTGACTGGTGAAGTAGGACTTGTAAGTGGAAAGAGCAGGGAAGAGAATAAAATAGAGCTGGGGAAATAAGTCAAAGAGAAGGCAGGTGTTGGGTGAGGCTGAAGTGAAAGGAATGAGGCATTCAGAGGAAATTGCCAGCTGTAAATTTTCAGGGATGTCTGGGCAACACAACTGAAACAATCTGTTAATGTCGGGTGTCTTTGTAAGCAGCTCCAGCCTCCACCTCATCCTTCAGGGAAGGCCCTTTCCTCATCCATGCCTTTATGGGGGGCGTGTCCTGACTGCAGAGTTCTCACTTTACCACGCTGTGTCCATTGCCAGAGCTTTCTTCTCAAAGCAGGGGAAGATCCCTTGTAGTTTCCACTTTCTCCTGCAGCTGTCCCACTTTGTTCTGGGATTATTGACGTGATAGGACCAGGAAATATGTTTGGCTAATGAAAGGAATGCAGAGAATTTGTTCTGTCCTTCCACTCTTGCCTCGTGTCATTATAGAAATGGCAGAATTAATCCTGCCTGAGCATCCCTCTTCTCACTGAGCATCTGCTGCCATTCTTAATTGTTTTATTTTTATTTTGAGAGAGCTTCAAATTCTTTATTCTTTAGTTACTTTTGTTTGACTCCACATTTACCATGTGTTTGGCAAACAAATTTTGCATTTACTTTCATTTATTCTTAGGTGGAAGAAAGCAACTGTCTGTTTTGATGAATGTCCTAGGTCAATGATTTCAGAGATGCTGGATGTAAGAAGAATATTAACAGCATTTGCAGATGATCATAAGTCAGGTGTTACAAACACAAGTAGGAAGAAATAATACAACATAACCTAAAAATCTTGGAAACAGGAAATTGAATGTAACTGAGTGGAGAGGAGAAATAAAAACTTATGTGTCCTTGGGGGGAAAAAATAGGAAGTTCAGTGCAAGGGAAAACTTGGAAAATAGAGCTGAGGGAGAAAGTGGAGAGCAAATTAAACATTCCCTTGCTTGGTGACAGGGCAAAGGAAAGGACAGCAAAATTAGGGAATATCTGTGGGCATTGCTTGGGACAGCAGCAGAGTAGTGGCCTAAAGTCATTTCAGGAGCACTCATAGAATATTTTAACTGAACCTGGGTATCTCATTATCAATGTGTTTTAAACAGATGGGCACGATTTCAGAGATGATTGGTGATTAACACTTGAGAGAGTAAAGGTATGAAATGTGTAAAACATGGCCAAGGAAAAGCCAGATAGGGATGTATTCATCAATAAACTTCCTAAAGTAATGAAATGTCAGTTGATGAATATTTTGTGCTTACTAAAATAGCTCTCAGGTTTAGGCATTAAACTTTAAACTGTAAAATAATTTTTCACTGCATGTACAAATCCATGAAAAACAGATTCTAAGAAGGAACTGGAAAAAAACACTGGGGAAAACCATTCTATATTCTCCAGTATAGATGGGAACAAATTCTCCATCTGCAGTCTTTTAAAAATGCCATCTTTTTGGTGTCTCACTGATAACTGAAGTATTCTTTTAGCCAAATCTTGCTTGCCATATTCATGTGAATTGTGCTGATGCTGAAATGGGGTCAGAAGGCAAAGGTAAGAGATATCCCCCTTCCTCTAGTAAAGTTCCAATAAGTGAGATTAGAAAATTTTTTACTGGAAAAATTCTTTAATGTGGAACTCTATGTAAACAAGTGAGCACAGTGAGACGTAAATACTCCTTTTGCATTATGTAGCTATAAATTAATACTCATAACTTAAGAGAAATCAGCTGCTCTTCAAGAGCTGTTTAACTGCAATAAGCTTGGCACAAATTCTGTTAGGCTCAGCTTCAGGAACAATTCTAGAATGTGCAGCTGTGAAGCATTTTCTGTGATGCTGTGACTGTCAGGAAGATGGTGTGAAGTTTGCTGTGTGTCCCAGCAGAGCTCTTCTGCTGACACAGGGACTGCCATAAAGCCATGGTGATAAAGTCTTGCAAGGAGGCAAACCCCAAGATGTCACCCTTTTGTTAAACCAGATATGTTCATCTCTGAAATATCAGTTCTGGAAGTGTTGGAGGGGGTTTTTTTTGCCCTTTTTTTTGTGGGTTTGTTTTTGTTTTTTTTTTTTAAATACCTGCTTTTGATACAATTTCTTAGCTTTATATTTTGGTCTAAGCCACTGCAACTTTTAAAGGGTTTCGGGTTTTTTAGGAAAGTTAATAGGATTTGTGTTCCAAAATTGCAATCAAACTGTAAGATTGAGGAATCTGAGATAAAATATTCTGTAGTGTCAGTGCTCCAAATGCCATTGGCAGACACTATGGATTCTCCCCAATAAACTTTACACAGTGTTAAATCTAACAGTTGTCTCTGGGCAATTGTTTGTTGCTTAGGTCCACTTTGTATTTCAAATGGAACTGCTGACTTCATTGTGATAATGTCTTTATTTGGGACATTACTTGATCTTTCAGCTTTTGAGGCAATAATCTCTCTCTAACAAGTAAAATAGCTCCAGGTAGCAACTGAGGAATAGCTCCACTAAAAATAATTGTTTTGTTTTAGTAAATTCTTGATATTTACATGATTGGTGGAGCCCTGTCCTCTTTATGGTTTAGTAGGCATGTGATAACTTTCAGTTATTAATCTGATTTAAACTGAACAAAACCCACTTTATATCCACAGGTAACAGTAATGCCCCTTCTGGAACAGCAGTGAGCCTTCTGTGGCTGGGATCGTGGCTCACAGGATGTGAGTGCCAGGGCATTAATGAGGGTGTGGTAGGTGTCACTTCCATGACAATCGGTGGCTTTGGGGGCTGCCAAATTCATAAACACATCAGGATAAAATACAGGTTATAGCTCCAAGTGAGACTGTTTTATTTCTCTCAGGCCAGTCTCAGCTTTGTAACTGAGCCTAAATTCCAAACTGTCCCTCAGCAGTTGCAGGTGTTTTCAATGCACTGCCTTTACCTTCCATGCTGTCACATGTACAACCTGGCTATCCCTTCCCAGTGCTATAGTGAACAGCCTTGAGATTAAAATGTATTCCCCAAGTGATGAACATGGGGCTGTGATTCCAAAACAAGCTCCTTTAGCTTGCTCCTTTTGGAAATCAGCAACATCTTTTTTTATGTTGGGCAAAGAAAGAGGTAGAAGGATGGAAGGAGTAGAAACCAAATCACTATTTAGGTTTTTCTTGGAGAGGTGATACTAAGAAACAATTTGGAGGAAAATGCAGTTTTCATTTTTGGGCAAGTAACACTGTGCTGAAGGAAAAGCTGTCACATTCTTCCCAGTCTTTTTGAAGATTTGTAGCTTTTTGAATGTACATAGTATATACACAATCATCTTCCAGTTCATTGGGATTCTTGCTTATTATTTTTTCATGTTTTCACAGTGAACTCCTTGATTTTAGGTATGGGGTTTTTTTCTGTTTAAGCTTTACTTGTTTTTCACTCATTTTAGTCCATAAATTATTGTTCAGCCTTTGGCAAACTGTATTTTTAAACTGCTGCTCTCTTCTGTCAAACCTGTGACTAAACTTAGTCTTTGATCACGTTCCTTTGTGGCTGGCCTTTTCCACCGTGAAGGGAAAATTAGAACTAAAAAAAAAATTTATTTCTATCCTTAGAATCACTTCTCCCCTGTGAGCATCCTTTGGAGAATGAGATTTGAAGGGAGCATCCCTGCCAGCTCTGTGTTCAGGTAGCAGTAAGCAATTTTGGAGGTGGGTTAGAGAAACTTGGCATCCCAGGCTGAAAAGGACAGGGCTGCCACAGAGGCTGCCACACATTCCTTGTGTCACAGAGGTCACCACGTTTCTGAGGGGCACGTCAGCAACACCTTCCGTGGCCAGCTTCACTTCCCCTGTAGGAAGGATTGGGTCCAAACACCTCCAAGTTACTTCCCAAAACGTGAAAGATGCTGGTGCAGGTGAGCAATTTGTCTGAGTGGAGGGCCAGGCCTTTTGTCGTTCCCTCTTTCCTTCCAGGGCTGCAGCAAAGATGCTGCATGTGTTTTCTTCCTGGGGAATTAGCCTTCAACCATTTGGGAACTGCAGGTCTTGAGAGCTGCCTGCACAGGGAAAATGGGTAATTAGGAGCGTGTGTTGTGCTGTGAGTGTTCCAGGGAGCTGTCTGGGCCAGAGTGAAGGGCTGGATTAGCACAGTGTGACAGCACCGTGCAGATGCAAACCTGGGCTGCCTTTAACCATTGGAACCTCATTACAAACTTAGCAGAAAACAGGGGGTGTTTATTCATAGGGTCTCCAGTTTGGTGAATTTTTCCCCTGGCAGGATCTTAGATGAAGGTCTATATTTACATGTAATTTTTTAACAGCCTGTTGCCCAAGTTATTTCTGAAAACTGACTTTATAAAAAGTGAAACTAAATATTGGCATTTGACTCCAGCTCTAGGAAAGAAATGTTATAATTTAGTTAGGTGTCACCTAACATCAAATTAGCTTTAAACCCAAATCTATCTAATATGTCCTGGACTGTAGGTGGAAAAGGACTTTGTGTTGGTTTCAAGATGTCTGTTAGATACAACCCACAAAGCTGAAAAAGGTTTCTAGGGCAATGTACATGAAATAAAATTGCACTTTTCATCTGCCAAGTCCTTCATTCTTGCTCTGTTTAAAATTGGTATTGTGGGGAGGTAGCAAATTACTTTGTGATGTGTTTCAGCCAAACAATCTCGTGGTTATGGCCAAGTAATGGAGAGAACTTTCATACTGATTTTTTTGTTTGTTTTTTTTTTTTTTTTTTTTGTGAAGGAGTTCTCTTACTTTGATGAAATACCCTGTAAAATATTTGGTTCAAAATAGAGATGCTACCTTCTCTTACAGAGGTGGGCTTTGTGCTTAATGCTTTCCCTCATGAAAATAATCAGCATGTAATGCTAATATTTTTAATATTAGATTCTTATACAGAGGGGAGAAAGGCATTCTGCTTGTGGTACTCTAAAGATCACTCAGGTATGATCAATAATCCATTAGCAGGAATCTTTGTTCCATTTAACACCACTAACAAGTTTTTCCATCCCTTCCAGTTGGAAAGCAGGACAGACAAGTAATCTGGAAGGTTGAACTGTGGAGGAAGTCAAAATAGCACCAAAAATAGTTTGATATGAAGGTGCTTAGCAGAAACCACATCTTAATCAGCCTTATTTTTAATACAAAATGTCTTGTAAGGCTGCCTGTGTCTGCTGTGCAGCTGAGAGGCACAGTGAGGGCATTTCTTCAGTAGATAGTGGAGTATCATGGCCATGAATGCAACAAAACTGCTTTACAGAGATTTATTACACCTCACTCCTCAGAAGCATGGAGTGCATCCAGCCTGGAGGAGCAAGTAATGACAAAGGATGATACAAGTACTTCAGAACTTTTAGCTGTGAGTGACTGGCAGGATGGCCAGCCCTGATGACTTCATAGATTAACTTGGTGAATTGGTGGCCATGAGTTTTATCTAGTGTTGGTTTGGGATTATCACTTTACTATCATCTGGAACAGCAAGTTAAGGTCAAATCCTATTTTTCCATGCATCAAGAATTCCACTGTGTTCTTATCCATAAGAAGTAGTGTAGGAAAAGGAAATCTTCCTATGGATATTACTGTTTAGCACAATCTAAAATATATTTAATGGCTTTTGCTTTTTTTTTAGACTGAGAAATCAAGTTTGAAAGCAAAACCAACAATAGAGGCATTCATGGTTTGTTTTTTAAAAGCCACACATTGTCCTATCTTATTCAAAGCAGAATTTTTCTATTAACCAAGTTCTCTGAGTCTGTTTCCCAAAGTTATGTAATAAAAACAATTGTCAGATCTATTATGATAGTCTAGACTAGACACAAAAGGGGAACTCTGGGGCAAGCATGGAGATTTTCTCATGGAAACAGATAACAGAAGACTAAAATCTATTCTTCATCTCTTTTAGATAAGTAGTCCAATCTAACCTTTCAGAATAGTTCAGTTGTTTTCTTAGCAGGGGGGAAATGGCTGCAGTAGATTGTTCTAGAAGAAAATGTGCCATTGTGAGCCCTCCTCTGCTGGGTGGGTGATAAGGGCCTGTAAAAGCCCTGTGTTGTCTCCCAAGTAGCCCAGGAGCAAGGCTCTTCCTCTCCTGTATGGATCCTTGTGTATGTCAGATAGATTAATGGCTTGTCAGAGGAGCACAAGCCCAGCCGTGGAGTTGAGCTGGAATGAAATGGTTCTGTTTTCTGAAATCCTCAATGGAACAGATTTTCCAAGTGAGAAACAAAGGCTTCTCCTCAGCTGTGCTGCCTGTAGTGGGGATCAGGGAGCAACACTGCAAGAGGGGCCTGGCTTTGTTTGCACCTTCCCATCCTGATCCTCCACCTCTCTCTGCCTCCTGGCCCCAGGTGGAATGAGGTGCACGTGAGGCCAGGGCTGCCAAACCTGGAGAAGTTTCTGTTCAGATCTCACTCTGCAGTAATTTGTGAGCTGGAGCCCGAGATACAAACTGGGTCTCAAGGGGGATGGGAGTTTGTTCATGTGTGCTGGTATTTGGGTCACAAGCCTGATGGAAAGGGACAACACAACCCATCGAGTTTGGGAATGGGAGCTGGGAAATGTTACAGCAGCAGGATCATCCCTTGTGGCTTCTGGTAATTAGGTGAAATTTGCTGATTAACGAGGCCATGGTTTCACATATGCTTTAAGCCAGCACTGAAATCTCACCTGACAAATGTGATTAGTTTTAACCTGGATATGCAGAACTGTGGCTGAGGAAAACATTCTTTCCAGTAGGGATGAGTATGGAGCTAGGGTTAAGTGGGAAGGAGAGTGCAGGACATGTATATTTCTGGAATTTGGGAATACAAAAATAAATTAAGGGGAAAATAAGACAATGAAATGTATCCTCTTGCTTTTGAAACTTTTAATCTTTTCAGTCTTTCTCTCACCCAGATCTTCTGCTGTGCCTTTTTAGGTTATTCCCAAGCCAAAGGCCTGATATGGTGTTTGCTCTCCTTCCTTCACACTGAGCCAATTGTATGAAATACAAGGTAGTATGAAGTCTCCTCAAAAGTGTAAAGCTAAAAAAGCCAAGTTACATTCAAATACACATAAAGTCATTTCAGATGTACAAGGAGGTTTTAAATTAAAAATCTCAAATTATGAAGTCAAAGCCTTTGACTTCAAGAGATGTAATTTATTTTTTTCTACAATGCATGGTCTAGCATAGTCTACTTTGGGCAGCACTGTTTAGAAGTTCATTAGTATTTGCAAGTAATTAGCAGCCTGGCTTGATGGCATGAAGATTCATCTAAAGGTACATATTGCTGGCCTATGGGATAGACACATAACCCTTACAAATAGCATGCATGGAGTGCTATTTTTTTGGTAATCACTACAGCTGTAACGCTGAGAAAGCCAATAGGAAATGGCTTTTGGATATAGAATGTAGAATGTATCTCAAGGGAGGTGAGGGAGACATGATGGGTTGAAAATGGTAATCTTAATACAGTAGAAACTAAAGGGGACAGTTCTGTACAGGATTTAGCAATTTTCCCCACATTTTTATCTCTTGTGACCTTGATCTTTTTATCAGTTCCACCAATTTTGTGGGTGGAGTGGAAGTTGGCACTATTGAATATTTCTTCCCCTAATAGGAGGAAAAAACAGTGAGAGCAAGGGAAAAGAGCTCAGTTGTTGCACAGCTGCCTAAGGTAAGGGTTGCAGAAACTTTTCCAGGAGCTGGGCAGGGTTGGTGGCACTCCCAGGCTCTGGGTGTAGCCCAGTGATCAGCAGAGATGTGGTGACTGTCAGAAATGACAGAATTGTGTGGTGATGGAGCAGGCTGGAGGTCAGGAACCCAGGGAGTCCCCTGGAGTTGGGCACAGCAGGGGCAGGACTGAGCCAGGCCTCAGGGAAGAACCAAGGAATTCAGCCTGAGCTCAAGTGTGGCAGTGGCCAGGATGTGGGATGGGGGTCTCAGTGGAGGCTCTTCGGGGCAGTGATGCACTCAGGATCCAAACAGACTCTGAGCTTCTCAGAGTAGCTTTTATTAGCAGGATTTCTTTTCCTATAGGGGGAAAAAAGCCTACTTTGCACTTGGATTAAACTTTAGCCACTTTAATTTTCACCCCAGCAGAGCTCCCTGTTACAGAGAGATGAAGCAGTGCCAAGTGCTCTCACCAAGAACATCTGAACAGCATATTCTTTGTAGAAAGTTTACCCTTCCTATTAATTGAGGTTAATTGTAGCTTTGCAATTGCTACCTACAAGAGGAAAAGAAGAGTGTTTCTACCTCTGAGCTATAATTTGGTTTTTTGGTTGTTTTTTTTTTTTTTTTTCTGTAACTGAGGGTATCATAAGTTTTAGGTCCTGGTAGTTGAAGGCACAGTGCACACTCAGAACCAAAGACTGATGACATCCCCTCTAGAAAATTTACAGAGTCAGAAAATAATGTAGGAAAAAAGTCTCACAACACCCCCACAAAGTGAGGGCTGAGAAGTCTCTGGGCTCTGGCTTGCTCATGCTTGCAGAAGAAATAATTTTGACCTTAAACTGTGGAGTCAAACATGTTTGCTACAAGACCACTGCAACAACAGGTGAGATGGTGGCCTTGGAAGGCATCCAAAATCAGTGTGTTTCAGGAAGGAGCTGGCAAGGCTCCAAAGAAATAGGTTTTATTCTGCTTTTGGGGTGGTTGGATTTTTCTCTACAGATTGTAGCCTGCATTTATCAATTGAGTTATTTTGCATTTATTTTCTTTGTTCTGAGACAATAAATTCTCAGTGGCAAGAGTTGCTAAAATACTGTAAGTATGGCATTTATTTCCCCTCCTTGACTGTAGAAAAGCTCTTTAGTTTGTAATCACTCTTTGAATAGTAGTCTGTGACCCAGGGAAGCTAATTTCAGCAGCAATAAAAGCTGTGTCTTTTGTGCCTTCAGAAAATAAAATTTTAAGGACCTTGGAAAATTTTTGGACCTTGACCAATCTGCAAATTCAATATGCCTATTTCTGTCTCCCAGTGTTGGGAGAAGGAACCTCTAAAGTCTTCTCAGAGACCTAGAATAGCTTTTATTTTTTAACTAACTCCCTTTTGCAGTGTAGTTCATATTTCTTTTGTTAATAAAGAGAATTTTGCTTGAGTTTTGGGAGGATAGTAATTACATGACTTGTACTGGAAGAAAACTTCCCACTAAATCTTAACGTATGACATTTCTGTGTCCTGGAGGGGGCTGCTCAGCCAGGTTTGCAATTAAACAGCCAACAGGAGTATTTTACTGCTGAGCTGAGAGAAGACATCAGCTCCATCATCTTGCATCTAAAACACTTGTGAATGTAATAATTATTTTTGTCAGCCAGTCCTTTGTGCTTTCCATCTCAGCAACACTCATTGTCAAACAGCAATTTCACTTGTTAATCTTCCTCCTGTCTCCTGCTGAGGTTGTCTTTTTGGCCTGTTTCAGATCCAGCATGTTCCTTCTTCTTTTGACAATGGGAGTTGAGTTTTGTGAAAACCTTTTCCCAATTGCCTCCTTGTGGGGTTAGAAAAACAAAAAAAAATTCTGATTTGTTTTACAAATCTGCCCTTGGATTATTACTGATGCAAAATTCCAACTTGCACTTTGAAGTAAGGGGTTAGGGATGTTGATGTTTTATGATTTGCTTCTCTCTCAGCAGTGTTAGGATCTTGGTCCATGAAATTCCAAGTCTGTCCTGTAAGTCTGGGGTTATAATCCCAGTGCAGGCCTAGCAAAGGTGTTCCTGTACTGGAAGTGCTTTCAGGTTATTCATGCTCCAATCCCTTTCTGTGTTTCTATGGACTTCTTCATGAGATGCAAAGGTACTCTTGGTGCAGCCATCAGATAAATGGGCACTGCTTCCACTTCCCTTGACTCCTAAAGATGCCCAGTTTGGCTGGTTCAGTTTGTGCTCTGCTTTCTGTCCCTCTCAGGAAATCACCAGTGACAGGATGCCTGGTTAGAAGTGAAACCTCAGCCCTGTGTGACCCTTGTGCTGCTTTGGAGAGGAGCAGTGACAGTTTGCTGAGTCTGGAAACACATTTCTCTTATCTCCAGGGCAAGCACAGTGACTGTTGCCAGCTTCCACCAGGAGGGACTATCAGTGCTGTTCCATCTTGGTTACAGACATGACTAATCCCTCTTACTACTTTTTCTTTTTTTTCCCCAGAAGTGCCAATTAAGCTTTTTCTATGATCCTTCTCTAATATGTTTAAGTCAAATGGAGGTGGGTGACTATAAACAGCCCTATTAGCAGGTAAACTCAGTGCAGCTCATTTCAGCAGAAACGTCCTACAGAGAAATGGTGAGAGAGGTGGAGAGGCAGCACAGAGCTTCAGGCAGGAGAGAATTCACATGTCCTGGAGACAGACAGATATTTGCCTTGGCTTCCTGTTCACTTTATCTCTGATTCCCTCCTCAGCCTTTTGTGAGATGATGGAAACTGTGAAGACTGCTATTGCTGCCTTCCTCAGCAAACCACCCTTCAGAGCAGGAGCAATTCCATTCCATGAGTCTGTACCTTCTCCATGGTGAGTTTTAAGGTGATGTGCAGTGAGAAGAGCATAAGGAGCTAAAAAGCTTTATGTACAAAGGATATAGCTGGTATGTGCCACCACCAGATTCTTTAGGGTCTCACTTCTCTAGCAGCAAACGTGGTCAACAATCACAAGAGATGTATTTCCACTTGTCAGTCCCAGAATCACAGAATGGGTTGGGTTGGAAGGGGCTTTAAAGCCCATCTTGTTCCAACCCCTTGCCCTGGGCAGGGACACCCTCTCCCAGATACCTTTGTGGATACCTGAGCTGCTCAGGGATTAAGGCAAACAGCCCAGATGTCCATAGCAGCAATAAAACTAGGGTATTTACCCTGCAAAATGATGCTGTCACAGCATTGCTTTGGGAACAGGATGCTAAATTTCATGAAGTCATGCAGCTGTGCTAATAAGGTTTCTTTACAGTGGTGGGCATGTCTGTTATTTCTGGGTTTGTCTGTAAAATTGTTGCCATCCAAACATTCTCTTGTCAAATGCCTTTGACTAAATTGTTCCAAATTTAATCAGTTGGGCCTTAAGCCTTAATGTGGGGTAAGCAGGCTTTGGTGTGGAACAGCTCTTCCACTCCTGGCTGCATATTCCCTGCTCTCCCCATGGCTCACATCTGAGCACGTGGCACAGCCTGGGTTGGGCCAGCAGAGAACAAACCTGCCAGAACCAAATCTGCCTTCCAGATCAACCTGTTGAGCTGATCTGCACAACCACTGGGTCTCATCAGGGGTGGGAGAGGGAGAGGCAAGCACTGCCTGCCTGCAGTTGTGCTGGATTGGAGGGAAAATTAAGATGTTCTTACTATGAACATTTTGGTCCAGGAGCTCCTGGCTTAATGCAGAAAAACGTTTCTTGTATATTCCAACCCATTAGACCTGGCTGCTTCTTTATTTTTCATAATTATTTGATACATTACTTTCTATTAAAATAATTAAACCATGAATCTTCACATTATTTACAGTTTTTCTCATGTTATTAAGCTGTAATTTGACCAAGAGATATGAGCATAATTTACCATATGATTGCATAGCTTTTAATGTGTGCTTCTGCAGTGAATAGCAGCTATTAAGCTAAGTGGTTTGCCCTGTAAAATGACATGATGTCATAATATTTCTCTGAAAATACGAAATTAAGTATCATTAAATCCTATAATTAGGTAGCTATAGGTTATATTTGCAACTTGAAAAATGGAGTCAGGCAGCCTGATTCTTCTCGCTGTAGTATTCCAGGAATTTTGTCAAAACTGTACAGGAGCAAGTGTTGTGCTTTACAGAACATGAGCTGCTTCCCCAGCCCTGTATTTCAGTGTAATTCCCTTTTTGTTCTCTTTCCAGGAACTGGGATTTCCCAACATGTTTGTAACAGCAAAGCAGCTGTTCCAGGAGCGTGTATATTCTTTTTTTAAATAACAAATGTGATTTTTGTGTCTATTTTTCTTATTCTTTAGAAATCATGTGAATTTCATAGATGATAGTGTATGATTGATCATAAAATAATTTTTTTTTGCTTTGGACAGATATTTAGACCTCTTTTTTCCTTGTATAGTGTATGATTGATCATAAAATATTAATTTTTTTTTGCTTTGGACAGATATTTAGACCTCTTTTTTCCTTGTCAAATTTTCATAAAGTTTTTGACAGGTTTGTTGTTTCTTTTAAATCTTCATCTAATTCTAAAAAAAAAAAAATTGCTTTTTTGGTGAATTTAACCTGGTTTGTATTACTTCCATACTTCTAATTTATTTTCTTATTTTCTGAGTCATAAGATATTTTAGTAACTGCTGTAGTTAATTGATGTCTGGTGTTTCTCCTGATTATCTCTATTCACTTTTACCTCTGAAGGTACACCACGTATCTCATATAATTTTTATTCAGTGCTATATGTACATTCGAAGTGTTTTTAGAACAAACTATTCCTTTGAAGGTTACAGCTGTAATGTTAGAGGGATGTATCCCAGCGCTGTTCCGAAGCTGACTCTGCCTCTGAGACCCTGCGGTGCCCCTGGTGCTGGACGCAGTGAAATAAAAGCTTTGTGCCATCTACTGGTGCCGCTGGGAGCTGCGACGGACTCGAGCCTGCAGTGGGGGGAGAGAAAGTACCTCGCTGGAGATAACGAGAATGCTGTTTATTTTTTAATGTCTGTAAGTGCTAACTCATGCTAAACACGTGCTAATTAACTCACGCATTAACCCCTTTCCCACTCCTGCCTTCCCGACAGTGCACTACATCTTTATCCCTATTTTTAAAGACTCTAAAAACATTTTGTTTTACAGGTAGGTCAGTCATGTTTTAACAGAGTGCAACAGTCCAGGCTGATGGTGAATGTGAGCACGGTTTGTCTAGACCTGTTACTCTTTCTATAATAATTCCTAATTACAGTGTATGTCATGATCACTTATAATTAAATATAGCTCCCCCAAACACGTTCTCCCCTATGGGTTTTCTCTGATGCTTGTTCCCTTGTTAAGACTGGAGTTATAAAGCTGCTGGGATGGGAGACTCCAGCCTAACTCAGTGCAGGGTTAAATAAGGCCTTTTAGCTGAAACCTCTTTGTATCCTACAGCCTCATAATAGGCTATTGTATTTTCTGGGGTTTTTATAAGGCTCAGATGTCACACTCAGTTCTTGCCTGTTTCAGTATCATCAGTGTTATCACTCATGTGTTTAATACATTTGCTGTACATTCTGATCATAAATATTATTTGTTCTTTCTCTGCTGGTTTTTACTTCTTTATCTCTCAAGGACATAAAGAGCAGATCCACAAATGCTCCAGTGTCCTTTTCGTTATGGTTGTTCTATGCAAAGGAAGCAAATCCAAGAAATTATTAGAAAAAAAACCAAAAAAACCCAAAATCAAAAACAAAATAACGAAACACCCCACCAAAAAAACCCAAACAAAAAAAAAAAAAAGAAAAAAAAAACCAAAATCCAAACCCTTTACAATTTAGACTATTATGTGCTTTGCTATCATGTTCAAGGGTCCAGATACTTTTTCTTCCACACTCAACTCATTCCCAGATGAAGTGTAACCTGCAGGAGACACACCTCGCCTAGAAATGAGGATTCTTTGGGTCTGCTTCAAATAAAACCCAGTTTATCCTGTCTAGGAGGGAGGTATTTTTCTCATTTGCAAAGGGCTTGTAGATTTTTTTGGTTAAAAATACTGTATAAGCAGCTATTAATGTATTTTTGTGCTGGTTTGATACATGTACTTAGTGATCTAATTGTGCGTACTTTGAAAACTTGTCTGGGTGGGATATTAAAATTCTTTAATTTTGAGTTATCTAAATGCATACATGTGTATTAAAACATGTTACCTGCTACAAGTACAGGTACAAAAATCAATACAGTAAATTAGTTTGATTTTAGATTGTACTTCAAAGTGCAAATATCAATTTAAGAAAAAACAGTGTTGCTTTCAGCAAAGCAGAATTTTACCCAAGTGTGAACAGGTGGATTAAATTATATAGGAAATATACTCAGCCTTTTAATATTTCAATTTAATATTTCAATTTTTTCTTCACTTGCAGGTAAATGCCCCAAACAATCATCTTTGCTTTTTTTGTGACTGATTGTTACGCCTGGGAAAACAAGCTGCAGTAAGTGCACAGTTAACATGAATTTTCATGGAGGGGAAAAATAGTTAATTATTGCAACAGTACAGCTACTATGATCAGAGCAGTGACTCATGCAAGTCAAGCATATAATTGTCCATGTAATTTGTTTGAAGTCAGCTGGGCTCCAACATTCTTGTTCCTGTGTATAGCTGTTAATTTTTCTTTATTTTCCCTTCAAAATCTGCTGGAATTTGCTGCGAGATTGTTTTGTTTTAATATGTGTGTTATTGTTAGAAAGATGTCAAGTTGTGTCTGACAGCCTGAGAGGGGCAAAACTGCTGCAGCTCCATGTCCCCAGCTCCTATCAGGAGCAAGGCTGAAAATGTTTCCCATAAGACCCTGGCACATCTCACATATTCATTGTTTAAACCAGAAGAAGCTCATGGTTTTTATATTCCTCCTTATTCCCTTTTTAATGACTGTCGTTACTGCTCTTACACTCTGTCATCTGTAAAAGGCTGTGAATTTGGGTTAGATTCACTCCAGTGGGAAGTATTGTAGACTGGAATTTAAATCTAACCTACTTTGTATCGGTGGAAGAAAAGAACACACTTTTACTCTGGACAAGCTGGAAACTGCTGCTTAGGATTGCAGCAAACATTTACCTTCTTTAATGTACTAAACATAATTTGTTTGCAGCTTCTTGGGATCAGGAGAAAATGGCTGTGGATGATCTAATATTTGCAGGTTTATACGAACATTTTTAGTAGCTCCTACTGTATCCCAGTGAATTAAAAGCAATGGTTTTTAACAAATTTATACAAGTGGGGAATACTTTTCACTAATAATTTTGTTTCTTCTAAATTCCAAATGTATTTTCTGTTCCTCTGCATTTCTATCTTGCAGTGGTAGAACTGGCAGAAGTCCCACAGTTTCCATATACCATGTGTACCTGTATCTGTGAGGTTTTTATACAAATCCCATGCTTTATGGGCTTGTGTCCACGCAGAGCACAGTTGGCTTGCTTTTGTTCCCAACACAGGTGAGTTAATTTCAAGACAACGTGATAGTAAATATTTCTTTGTGATGGGAACTGGCAGGTTCTGTTTAATTCCAGCAGCAGGGCCCCAGGGTCCACCATTTCCATAAAATCACCTGCAGAAGGATTCGTGGCTCTTAGCAGGCTGTCATCCTGCTGAGACAAGAAAAGAAGTAACAGCCACCAATTGCTGACCTAAATTAGTCAGCACAAAGGGGTTTTTGTCCTAAATTAGTCAGCACAAAGGTTTTTTGTCTTCAGAGGACATTGTGATGGAGACAAGCTGAGGTACTGCAGGAGGATATGAAGAGCCAATTGGGATGACTCTTAACACCTTCTGTCATTTAGTCATGAGGGGAAAAGATAAGGAAAACCTCCTTTGGGAGGAGAGATGATTGGATAATACTGGTATAGAATAGAAATTGCTGTCAGTGGTGGAAATATGCCTTTAGAACAGAATCAATACTTCTGGACATTATGGGAATCATTGAATTTGGTGATACAGAGTTGGATCATTAACAAGGAAAGTGGTTCTGGATGCAAAGGTTCCACCAGAAACAAAACTCTGGGCTTTGGCAGGTGTTGTTCATCCTAAAGGAACTCTGTTGGGAGAAGGGATGGTAGAGCCTTGGATTGCAGGAGGTCTGGTGCTGTTCCCCCTGAGTAAAACATTCATGGTTGTAACTAAAATATAATGCAATTAATCTCTCAGGGTTATGTTTTGTGTCTGAGAACACAGTGAAGGCAACACACTGGTCATGGTAAAACGTTAAAATTTCATCTCTTACTTTCCTACTGTCAATAAAACTAAACAAAAGCTGAGTCTGTAGGGCCTAACAAGCTTGGGACTACCTCCTGAAGCTTTGCATCAAACCCTCCTCACTGTCTCTGTGTCTTCCCTGATATTCTGCACATTAGGAGCAAACTCCTCCATCCCTTCACCATGAAACTTGCCCTTTATTTTTTGCTGCCTTCTGTACTGACTGTACAGCCCTGCTTTTTTAGCAGCACTACAGGAGTGATGCAAGCTCCTCCTTTGACCTCATATGGCTTCTGTTCCTGCTTACCCAGCCAGGTCTTTCACATGCCTCCTGTGGCACTGCCACCCCTTTCCATGTTCCAGGACAGCAGGGAACAGACAGCTGGCCTTGAAAGCCCAGCAAACTCAGTCAGGCTTCTTTCTGCTCCTAGAATTTATAACCTTAAAGGAGGCTCAGCACAGGGTCCGGCCCTTTGTGCTTCTGATTTGTTATGTTGGAAGGTGTGAGAAGGAAAGGTTAAGGATCACAAAGGAGAGAGCATTTTTGTCAAGGCAGACATCTGATTCTCTTGTTTTGGACTTGAGAGCTGTGAAAAACACGTTCATTCTCCTGTGAAAATTTGAAAAGTTTAATAAAGGACAATGGAAGACAAGGACCATAGAGCAAAGGAGCCAAACCCTCTGTGTGGTACAAACAGTGCCAGGCAGAGGCTGGCTGCTGTCCCTGGGGGTCTGGCAGGACAGGGAGCAGGAGCTGGATTTCTCACAGGTCAAAAGAGAAAGTTTGGTGGTAGGAAGAACAGGAAAGGGAGAAGTATGTGTGTCCTTCCTCTTCAAGTTGTCTTTTAAAAAACATGGGAGGTTACTAAAAAAAGCTGTGTGGAGGTAAGACATTGCTACTCCTTTATATTTAGGGCCCCAATTTGCAAAATCAGCTTCAGATTCCACATGTGTCAGGTCAGAGATGTGATGAAAAGATGCCTGTCCTCAGTGTTCTCTGTGTTTACGACAAAATAACAGCCCAAGAGCCTGATTCTCCTTGCTTTAGAGTAGATGCAACATCTCTACAAATCGGGTCTTCTACTTGCAGCAGGAACTGTGTAGCAAACCGCCTCGCTCCCGTTTTCCTCTCCTACTCAAATTTTCACTTGGTCCCAGCGGTTTCGCTCCCGGTTTTCCCCTGGCTGCTGGAATGTGCACGAGCAGGGCCCAAAGCGAGGGGCAGCGCTGGGAAAGGTCAGGCCAGCCTGGGGCACAGCGAGGAGCCGGCTGGGCAGTGGAAAGTTACAGCCCTGAGTGCTGCAGGAGCTGCCCTGCTCCTCGGGAAATGTGATACCTGCTCGGCAGAGTCCCTGTGGAAAAGGCTCAGTGCTCCTCTTCCAAGTGCTCCTCTGGTTTGAGGGGAAGAGAGAGTTTAGGGTGATCTATCATGTGTTCTTATTAGAGGAAATATGCTTTAATCCCCCTAATCTAAATCTGCTACTTGTAGTGCCAGGGACTGCAAATATTTGTGTTTTATCAGTATTTCTTCACTGAAAACTATCGTGATCTCAGGCATGATGATTCTGCATGAAAATGGTAGCAAGCATGACTCAGTATGAGAAGAGTGATGGACAAAAATAGGGCAATTCTTACCAAATCCTATTGTCTTTACTCCTTCCCTGTGTATTGTATCAGAGCACACTAACACAGCTGGCAGTGGTATTTGCTAGTAGCTGTTTGTGTTTCCAGTGGAAATCAGTGGTAAATCCCAGTGTAAAACTGTCTTTCATCCACAAGAAAGAGCTGTTTGTCCAAATTTCATTTGCTGGATGTAACATGGAATTTGTCTTTCTGCTTTTGGTAGGAACTCGTTCAATGCTGTTTAATTTAATTTTAAATCACATTCTAGTAACTGCTATAAAAAAGATCTGGGTGAGGGTTCATGACAACAGTCCAGCTATTTGGCACAGGTTTTCTGTAAACAAACCAGTGAATTGTTTAACCAGTGTGAAGTAAGAATTCCCCAATGCCTTGTGAATGAATGTGCTGCAGTTACAGAGATTTCATTAACTAATGTGAACCTCCAAAAGAAAAGGAAGGACAGGAACAAAACCGCGTGAAATCAATTTTGCAATTGTAGCTGGAGCTGTGGGTCATGCAGCATGTTTTGGGTCTGGTTATTTGGAAAGGATGAGTTTTTCCTTACTGTGAACTGACTGTTCTGCTTATATTTCTGTTATGCCTCAAGTCTGATAAGACAGGGAACTGATCAGAACTTGTTGGTCTTGGGAGCCCTGTGAGAGCTAAACCAGCAGTAATCTGGGCTGTCATGGACCTGAAAGTGGTTTGTCCATTCTATTTAGAGACACACCAAAATATAGACATATTTTATAGTGCTTGAGATACCAGCATGTCTCTAGAAACTTTTATCAGAAAAGATAAGAGTTGGAGCAATTCGAAGTTTATCAGACAAGGGACGTTGTCAGTTCAGGGTGACTTTAAAATACAGGGCAACCTGTGTGGTCCTAAGTCCTTGGAAGTGCATCACTCGCTGATGACTGAACTCTGACACTGCACCGAGACAATTCAGAACGAGTTAGTGTATCACTAGAGATGTGATTTACAATGCTGGTCGGAACAAGCTGATAGCAGCCACGGAAATGGAGCTATATAAATAAGCTTTGGCAATACACCCCACGAGTGTCTTGCAAACTGCTGAGCATTTAGCACCTGCTTGCTACTGTTTTGCACATCCCTTCACTGTGAGAGGCCACATGTTAACACTGAGTCTAGCAAAGACTTACTCGACTCAGTTATCACAAGCTTATGCAATAACTGCAACATTTCAAATGTTGCTTTGATTTTTTTTTTCCAAATGTTGCTTTGATGCTTCTAATGTGCTGTTCACACAGGAAGTCAGGCAGGCTGATTTAAGTGGCTGCCCAGCTTTGTGGTAGTGGGAGTGAGAGATCCTCTAGACAGGAATCCAGCTCCAAAATTCTGTTATCCAGGGTCTGCACTACCCATGAAATTCTCAGCCTTAGGTTTTCCTCACCAACTCTTCCATGAAATCCCATGGTGATAAGGTCCATGGATGACCACCGAGTGACCAAATGGAAAAAGGGCTGAGACCTACTTTCTAGCCCTGTTCCTGGCCACTTGACTGACCATTGACAGCTTTTCCTGAGCTCTATTCCCATATCAGTGAAAGAGAGAAAAGCAATGTTCTGAGTTGGATCTGTGTCCCCATTCAGTTAAATACCTAATCCTGCTCTTTTACATGAAGACTGAGGTAAAGATAGCATTTGTCACTTCATTGTGACATCTCAGTATGTTCAAGAAAGTGTCTTTTCTGAGAAATTTGCAGGACAAAAAAAGTTCAAGCACAAATTCTGCCCTCAGAAAGCGTCCTTCTGTGTGAAAATCCTGTTGTCTAACAGGCCATACAGTTACCTCACGTAGAAAGTGAACTTTTGCTCAGCAACCAGATGGCTAAAACACAAAGAAAGGACTCTCCTTGTAATCTTGACATCCTTCCCTTTTGTGGGCTATACAGCCAAATTTTTCTTCCATTTGAAAACCCAGTTCTCAATTCTGGCTGCACCTGGCAGCAGCATCACAACTTTTGTGTGATATTAACTGAATAAAGGAAGATATGTCAGACTTGGAGCATGCAATACTTAGAGGTGACACTGAGACATTAATATGTAGTTCATCAATAAAGATAAGCAGGAGGATAATCTTTTGTTGCTCTTTCGAATACCTTGGGCAGGTTCTGAAAAGTCTTTCTTTTTCTTAAGCTTAAACAGTTCTAGATGCCTGGAAGACAAGAAATAAGCAGCAGGTAAGTAAGCATTGCTTTTCCTGCTCTAACAGACTCCCCCTGAGCTGCCAGGGATGTTTGTGACCTCTGGCATGACTCTTCCAACGGGGCTGCAGAGCCAGCATGAGCCCAGGCTGCTCTCAGGGTGCCTTGGACACTATCAGTGTCCATGGAGCTGTTCAGTGTGAGCTGGCAGGGTGGCAGTGGCTTGCAGGGCTTGTTTAGCATTCCTGGAGGCTGCAGATCAGCTCCAGCACTGACAGAACCCACTGCAGTTCAACACTCTGTTTTGGCTATGGCTTGTACTTAAAATCCATCCCTGGCCAGTGAGTGGCCACAGATTAAAGGAATGGCACACTGGTACTGATCAGGAGTGCTCTGTGACCTACTTGGGAGAGCAGAAGGGACCTACCATCAGGCTCAGCTGGAGACTGTAAA